TGGCAGGCATACAAGACTTGTTGGCGTATACGCCGCGAGTAAAAAAAAAAAAAAAGTTGGTATTCCTATTTTACAAGTAAAAATGAAGGATTAATTGCTGGTGGCGGGAGGTTTTGCCCTTATGTAAAATGTTGCTGTGCTGTTAAAAACATTGTTCTAGCAATAACATCAACCATGAGCACTTCACTAGCTTTATATATCTAGGGAGTGTCTTTATGTACCGTTTAGTTTAAACTCAAAACGGTAAGAAAAAGTAAATCGTTGAAAAGAAAAATACAATTCTTGGACTAGTTTAGATTTTAAACAATGAAGAAGAACAAGTTTTGCACTGTTCTAAACTGAGTTTACAAGACACATTTAGGATTCGACTTTTAAAAGAAGTTATAGTTTGTTGAACAAATCATCACAATTATATAGATTACTCGTTTAATGATGGTAGGTAGTGTAGTGATTCATTATCAAAGGTATTAATTAAATGCATGACTTATATCTCATATATATGATAGATAACTTTTAAGGATTAATAGTAAATATTACAAAACTCATTTAAGGATGTGAATGAAATTTTTAAATCATTTCACTAACTATGTGTTTCAAAAGGAGGATAGACTGCGCGCATAATCTTGATTTATACGAGATGTATATGTGAGACAATGATTATATGGTATACTAGCGATTAGATATAATTACTCCAGGGAAATAAATATAGGAAGAATTTCCCAGATATCAATGCAGCAGTATTTGCTGTGTAGATCCCGTTTGCTTTATCTTTCAGAGCAATGGTCCAATCTTCTCTACTGGATGACGAAAATATTAATAGTTCAAAATTGTGCCAATGTGTTCGCTAAAGTACCATTTATGTATTGTTGGCCTTGTGTCTACTGAATTTCCCCCACTAAATCCCTCTGTGATTCCTAGATATATATAGATTTGTCTGACGGCGTAAAGAGCTCTAAATGCCATTTACTATTTTAATCTATACATTCAAATCTAGTCTTCCCCGTTGTATCTAGGTATATAGACCTTCAATTTTAACTTCACTTCTTGAAAACAAAAAAAATTAAAAGAACCCTTCTTAGCTAGTGTCATTAGGCATATCCTCATTAGGCATTGCCATTTTCATAGTTACACAAATAAATGTGAGTTTTAGTACAAAAATGTTTTTTTTTTTTTTTCCAAATTGTTGATGATGAGTCAAATATCGTCCTGTTGCAGCAGAAAATTGCAATTATATATGTGAAATAATCTCTTCGTCTTATTCGTATCATACACCAAATAATAAAAAGATATCGGTCGTGCAGGTGGAAATTAAGTCAGATTGAAATCCGATCCATTACTGTCTTCCCCTTAAAATATTAAATCCAATAGAAATTTTCTACAAAGACTGGTGAAACATGAGGAACCAATAGGTAATGTGAACTGCACGCTATCTTCATTGCATAACAAATTCCACTGTGATTTCTATCTGGTCAACACATATTCACGAACCAAATTGCTCACTTCCTGCCTTTTTCTTTTTCCAAATTTCACGAAGCTTGGCAAATTTTCATTTTAATCAAGGGATATATAATTTCAGAAACCTCCCTTGAGGAGGTCTCTACCAATTTCAGGAGGCTCCCTCTAGATTTCAGAAATTACACTCATCTCCCTTACTTTCACTATTTATTTATGCTTGAAAATAGGTCCAACAGGTAACTAATTCCTTCAAACATCCCAAACTACCTTTTCTACCAAAAGATAAAAAGGAAAGATTAAAAATGCTTTGTTGATTGCCTTTCTTCTAACACCAAAGCTAACAAACTCTTTCTGTCAAAAATAAAAGTTTTTTTTTTTAAAAAAAAAATCCAACTATGATGATTGACTTCTTCCAAGCAACACTACCACAAAAGCCAAGCAAACACCTCAGTCTAAATCATAATAAATTTCAATAATTCTAGCACTCAAAACAACGCAACCTAATTTATGTCCAATAGCTCTAGCCTCTACACTTCCTAACAAGTCAGTTAAATTTATCACTTGGTGCTAAACTAGATAAAAATCAACCTCAAATATTACCCAAAACTAACACTTCATCAACAACCAATTGCGCAGTTCTTTCCTTTTTCTCTCTTTGCAGCATCCTTTATTTTTTTTTGAACCACCCATTTCTAAAGCCCATCCATCTCTCAAATTCTCTCAAATTCTTGACTTTTGACATCAACAAGTTTAATTACCCATAATCAACCAAAATCGGATAAAACAAATAGACGCAGAAAAATCAAACCCATCACACTTAAAATTAAAAGGAAAAAAAAAGAGATGAGCCTAATCATGTTTGCAAAAAGGAGATAAGGATAGACAAAAAAGAAGAAGGGAAAGAAGAGGGACAAATACGGGTAAGAGACGTTAGACAGAATTTGATCATGAATTGGAAAAGAAATATTAGGCAAAGAGAAATGGATGATGGGAATTTGCGCAAAGATGGAAGTGGAAAAAAAAGCAAGATAGAAAGGTGGAAACGTGAAAGAGGCGGAATAAGTCAATTTTGGTTTTCCTTGGAATTTCTAAAAATTTTCCAAAAAAAAAAAAGTCATTAAGTATCCTATATAGGAGTAGTAGAGTACTTTTGCAACAATAAGGGAAGAATGTGTAATTTTGAAATATGAAGGGGAGCTTTGTGAAATTGTTAGAAGTCTTAAGCAAGGTTTGTGAAATTATACCTTTGAGCAAGGTTTGCGGTCCATGCATTGATGAAAAGATTGCTACAAGCGACTGAAAAGACTTGAAAATTCGCAAACTACTACCAAACCTAGTGCTTTTGGTCTGCAATTCATGCAAGTCAAAAAGACGCTTTTGATGTGAAAGTATAATGTTTAAATCTTAGTCCTTAATTAGCAGTCATTTCCTTGACAAAAATGCACACATAACACTCGATCACCAAGTAACCAACAATACGACTTATGGGTCGGAAGAGATTATGAAGAAAGAAAACAAGAACTAGAAGAAAAATGGGATATACCACTATACATTGAAGGTAGCAAAGGAAAAGGAACCGTGCATATGCATGCAACAAGAGGTTTCATATGATTTGAAGGACCGAGACAAATTAAGGGCCGAGGACAAGGACTAAGAAGATGTCGTAGTTCAAGGAATAGACCCACGAATTGCGGGGGGATTTGCCACGTGTCGGTGTGAGTCGTCGCATATGGACCCCCCTGGTTCTTGCACACACTGAGAGATAGAGATAGAGTTTGCAGAGGATAGTGGTGCATGTGGGCGTCCAATGGATTAAATATCTCTGAGTGGCTCTCAAACAGTCACTATCCCTCCCACCTCCAATTTTAGTGTTTTTTTTTTTGGAAATCTGTAAGAATAAAAAAGCTATTGAGATTAATTGTATTAAAAAAAAAAAAAGATCTTTGTGACCACTTCCTTCTCTTGAAGTAGGAAAAGATGAAGTCAAGTTTAATTGTCCCGGCTATATGTATTGCTTGTAGCCCGTTGCAAATTTCCCATGATTTTGTAGATCACTCTCTATAAGGCGTTGAATTTTTCCTATTCAATTTGTTGAGCAATATCCATATGTTTATTAGAATATTGTTCTTTAAAAGAAAAAGAAAATTTCTATCCATGAGAAATTTAACTACCTAATGGTTGCAGAAGGTTGCTAGATTACCAAAGGAGCCCTCGGTCTTGGAATCCGAATTTGAACTGAAATGAAATATGTATTAGGATCGAAATAGATATTGTAATGCAAGACCATACTATGACATAATTGCTTAAGAATGTGTCTGTCTTACTTTGTTATCCATCTAAATTTTAGTAGTTTACTCTAAATAACAATGAAATTTTAGTACTTGGTTAAGGTTTTGGATTTGGATTTTATACAATATATTATACGAAATAGATTTTGGATTTGGATTTTGTATTCAAAAGCATGCTTAATTAAAAGTCATATATTTCTCATGAATTAATTAGTAAGAATTAGAAACTCAATCAGTCATGACTTCATTGAGTTTTTCAGTTTAAGAAGCTGTCGCAAAAAGTTGTGCATTTTACTTAGGAATACTAAGTCACTTTATAATCTTGATTATTCTACACATTTCATTTCTTTTTCATCTATATTAGCAATTCACGACCAATATGAATCAGATTTTCTCTACTATTTTACTGTTTAATATTCTAAATAATGCCCTAGAAACTTATTGGTTGCATGATAGTAGATTAGGAATTCGTAATGGAGAAGCTAATCAAACTTCAAGAAGATGGAGGGGAATGTGAGTTGCTAAAATATAGATATATAAAAGTTGTTTATATGTGTTTTCATTTTCAGCACTTGAATTCCCAACCAAAGAGCTCCTTTAAGTTCGTATGCAATTATTTGTGAGAATATATACATGTGGAATCCTTTTTCACAATGCTCTATTGTACCTGCTCATATCATATTTATTTTACGTTTGTTTTTGTCAATGTATAAAACAATATTGTTCTTTTTGTAACTCGCCTTGTCCCATTGGTGAAACATGTCAAACTTTTAAAACACAAAACTACCATAAATATAACCACCCATGCAAGAAGGTATCAAACTATAAATATTAATAGTATATAATAAATGGAAACCTTAACCAATCATGAATCACTAACCAAGTACAACAAAGCAATCCTTGATTTAAGCAGACAAAAACCAGCGAAAGCCCTCTTGGATTGGGACTATTGGGACTAGTGACTAGCAAAGAGAAATGGACAAAGGGAAGAGTTGAATTTTGAGGAAACCTTTTTCTTTTGGAGACACAGTTTTTGATAGTTTTTGATTGATTATATGTTGTTGTTATGCATTAGAGAAACACAAAAAGAAAAGAAGGGAAGGAATAGGTGTAGACGATGACAATCAATAAAAAAAAAAAAAAAAAAAAAACAGAGAAAAGAAGGAGGGGGAAGAGGACCCATCCACCGCCCACGGGCACGCAATCTTACCACCAAAAAACCACACCCCATCAACAATCTATCCTCGACAAAATCTAACCCTAACCCAATCTCCTACATTAGTAACTCAAGCACAAACCAAACAAGACCTGTTCTAACTCTCTAGCTCAGTCCTCTTATCTTTTACCACTCCAAAACCCTCCAAGAATATCATACTCCTCACCAAGAAAACCTGAAATAACCTTAGGGAAGCAAAAGCAAAAACAACAAGAGCACCATCGGCAAGTAAAGCTAAGCTACTCAGGATGAGGAGGATTGAGCCTTGAGCTAGCTGGGGGATATGTTGAATGAGTTCATTGAATTTTTCAGCTGGGAATTAAATTTTGGTGGGTAACACCCAGAAACTCTACTTCTTTTCTTCTCCTTCTTCTTCTTCTTCCTCGGCCTTCTTCCTCTTGATGGTCATGAAAACTATTGAGTAGTGCTCTGATTTGTTAAAAAACAAGGCCAGCAAAGTGAGTAAGGCAGAAAGCAAGAAAAGGAAAGAGAAAGCAAAAATCCTCTCATCCCCAAAAGTCTACTTCTTTCTTTCTTTTTAGCTTTCACCATCTTTTTGAATCATTTCAGCCTTTACTTGTACTTTCATCTGGCAACCTCATCACATACATCCTTCTAGGACAAAAGAGAAAAGACTTGGGAAAGTATGGATCCAGTCACGGCTTCAGCTCATGGTCATTCCCTCCCACCTCCTTTCAACACTAGAGATTTCAATCTTCAGCAATTCCACCACCAGACCCATAATTCAGAAGATGAGCACAGCGGCACCAGCGGCCTAAACATGGGCCAAAAGCGAGATCGCGAGGAAAAGAATGACATCAACGGTGGCGATGGGAAAGATGGAGGAAGCTCAGCTGGAGACGGAGGAGAAATCACAAGGCGGCCTCGCGGTAGACCAGCTGGATCCAAGAACAAACCTAAACCCCCCATCATTATCACCCGTGACAGCGCGAATGCGCTAAGAACCCACGTTATGGAAATCGCAGATGGATGCGATATCATGGAAAGCGTGGCGAATTTCGCCAGGAGACGCCAAAGAGGGGTATGCATCATGAGTGGAACTGGCACCGTAACGAACGTTACGCTTAGGCAACCGGCTTCACCGGGTGCTGTAGTGACATTGCACGGCCGGTTCGAGATCTTATCCCTTGCGGGGTCTTTCTTACCCCCACCTGCTCCTCCGGCCGCGACAACCCTGACTATATACTTAGCTGGTGGGCAAGGGCAAGTGGTGGGGGGAAGTGTTGTTGGAGCACTTATGGCATCAGGGCCTGTTGTCATCATGGCTGCTTCCTTCAGCAATGCTGCATATGAGAGACTTCCACTAGATGAAGATGAGAGTTCGCTGCAAATGCAAGGAGGATCACTGGGATCTCCAGGACCGGTTGGAGGGCAGCAGCAGCAGCAGCAGCAGCAGCAGCAATTGATGGCGGACCCTTCTTTGTTTAGCATGCCTCCTAATCTTCTCAACTCGGTTCAATTGCCTAATGAAGCTTATTGGGCTACTGGTCGCCCTCCATTCTAACTCATAACAGGTTATGAATTGATTTAAGGTGAATTATTCTCATGATTTAGTACCACTACTTTGTTTATTAATTATCTTGATCAGCTCTTTAGGTAGAAGAGTTTTCAGGTTGGTTCTTTTGAGCAATATTTCAGCTTTTGATTTTTCTTATGATCATGTGTTGAGTTTGCTTTCCATCGGTTAATTTAGTGAGCTAGCTAGTAGGTCTTTTGTGTTTTTTTTTGTTTGATGAGTAGAATGATGTGGCTTCTGCATTTGTATTTTGATTAAAGAACTTTGTAAATTATTTCTTTCTTGATTGAGGTCAATTTGAATAGGCAACAAGTAATTCAAGTAATTAATCTGGCTATAAAAAAAAGAGGAAAGGAAGATGATGATCTTCAAGAACAAGAACAGTTATCCATGAATTAACATTTGCTATTGTTTTCCACTATCTTTCCAAGCCAGATTACACTTCCTCCATTCCATTTCATTAGTCATAATTCCATGATCATCTTATTTAGTATACCGCATTGAACATTGTTTCCTTTTTTCCCCGAACCCAACAGGAACCAATTATGCGATAATCATGATATTTAGAGTTGAAATTATTGTGTTTTTCAAGGGATGATACTCTATGACATTAAGAAGAGTGCTTTTGCTTGGACAAAATCATTTGACTGTTTGAATGGTTAGGTGGCATGTCATGATGCTATATTTACGAGAAGATAGAAAATGGAAGTATGGGCTTTAGAAAATTGCAGTTTCCAACATTTTTCCCATTCTGATGAATGTTAGAGTTTATTGGGTTGAACAATGTAGAGAGCCTTTATTAAGAGAGTCATATATATCTGGACATGTGCACAGTTTCAAACGAGCTCCTTTTCGAGGCAATGCAGCGGTTACAATGAAGAAAGAAGGGAAGAGGCAACCAACCTGGACAAGATGTCTCTTGAGCGTTATAGTTTTAGAGGCTCGGACTTCAGTTTAGTTTAGTGTAGTTTAGATTTCTTTGTTCTCTTTAAGAGTGTAAAATTTAAGGGGTTTGGGAAGGAAGGGATAGAATGCAAAAACCAAGACTAGAACACAGCTAAGAATCTTTGAATTGAAGCAAGGGTGAGAAACCCTTTCTAGATTGCTCACAATGGTTGCTTGTTTTTTATGCAACAACCCATGTAAGGGGAGTAAGATTCACAAGCTTATCCATTCTCTAGAAACACTCGCTTCACTCGGCCTTGCAGCTTTTGCTTTTATCTTGGGATGATGATCATCTTTCTTCTCTTTCTTCTCCTTTAGTTTCATGGATTCATTTTACAAATTACAACTAGATAACCTCTGATCGAAAAAAACTATTTTATTCCATCAATGTTGGATCTGTCTTTATCTTTCTCTCTCTTTTGAATGCCATTTCTTTGTTTTTTTTTTTTCTTGACCTGGTTCAACTTTAACGAGGGATTTTCTTTGAACCTATATTGATTTTTTTTGGGGGGTTATTCTTTGGGCCCAAAATTTCATCTTTGAAATGCTTTGTCAGTGCTTCAAGTTCAACACATTAATATTTTTAATGGCCAATGATTGGATGCAGTCTAAATTCGTACCCTTCCAATTTGCTACTTTTTCAGTTTAAGGTTTATGTGGCTGGAGAATCCGTATCGGGTATGTGTTTTTCGGGGTCTTCCACACATATTATCAGATTTTTAGATCGATAAGGAGAGGTATGATATCCACAGACACCTAGAATCTTATGTACAGTGGCCCCTGGCATTTCTTTCTATAGTGCCAGAGATCATATCATGCTGCTGGCACATTTTTCTTATTCTGGGATCAGCATATGTTAATACACTAGTGTATGGTGGCGAGTAGTACATTAGACACCATCCATATGGATCTTCTCAACTCAACTTGCTTTCTCTTTCTTTTATTCTTTCGGGCTGTTGGTAAACCAATGATCGTGATCAATATATTTTTATCTACTTCAATGCTTTATTTTCTCTGTCCTTTTTCTTTCACACAAATACAAGCAGAAAAAGAAAAGAAGCAAAGCTTAGGCAGAGAGAGTGAGTGCATGGTTCTATAGTTACGATCACCTCACTACTAGTCAGTCTCTGTGTAGCTTGGCTAGCTAGCCATTATTTCTGGCCAGAAACTTTGGGCATTTTCCTGGGAACATTAAATATAGATATGGCCACAGTTGAGCTGTCGCTATTTAGTGAGGCAACTAGTCTGTAGATATTGCAAGCAATTTCGGTAGGTCTTCTATAATGTTTTGGACGTATACAATTGTGTGTATGAAGTTTACATCATCCGACACAGCAGTAAATGTTGATCAACAAAACTGTTGTTGCTTGCGTGGAGCACCCAAATCTATCTATCTATCTTCAGTTTCATGATTTTCATTTTACTCTCTCCAAAAACAAACAATTTCAACAGTTCTTTAAAAGTCCAGATTCGATGAGGAACAATATATATTGTCATCTTGAACCTAAGATTTCCCAAATGTGATTCGGTTTGGGGGGTCCGTCCTTTGCACAGACAACTACGGCACACCCGTGTGTGTGTGTGTGTGTAAGGGATAAAAATAATAGGCAAGAGTCTGACAAAATTTTCATGCTTTAACTCAAGAGACATAATAGTTCATCTATCCATTTTTATCTCTCCAAATGGCTACAGTCTACCGGTACTATAATTGTATATAAATCTATCAAAACATTGAGCCACTAGGCCTTTGGCCAGGTGGTCACCACCAATCTTGGTGGGGTGGGAGGTGAATCCCGCTAATTGCCACTTCATGTGGCAGCCTTAATTGACTTTCTTTGATGAAATTTCTACTCACATCGAATCCACCTCCCATTCCCTCTAGATTATGCTAGATTAGGTTATACGAATTCTACCGTTGCGGCAAGTGTCCTACCTCTTTAATTTTTCTATTTTTTTTAATGAACTTGGAGAATTTAGCTGTACGCCTGCAAGTAGACCATTTGTACTTATTTCCGGTTTAATTTTTGTGCAGAAAATTATTCGACTAATCTTCGTGTTTGGATTGTAGTTTTCTACTAAAAATTTTTTACGTTTTTCATGATCGTATTTTTTAATCGTCTTTTATCTTACATACAACAAATCGTTATAATATATTTTTTCTATACAAACTCCAGAAAATAACAATTCAGACAGAAACTAGTTGAAGTTTAAAAAAAAAAAAAGATTCTAATGCAATAGCTGTAGACAGCCTAGCTGTCGAAAGCATCCCAATTTGGTCAGTTCTGAACTATTAATAGTGGTTAGCCCAAGATTCGCGGAAACGATATGACGAATTTCCAGGATAAACCATCTTCTTGAGCCGTGTACGGACTTGGATATTCAAAAGCTGATTTTTTTTTGTTTTGTTTCGTTTGGTAAAAAGGGCAGCAGCGGAGAGGCACCAATTATTACAAACTTGAGGTATGCCTCTGCGATATCTGCTAATCTCTGCTTGGGAACTGAGTTAAATATATGGGACTGAAAAAATATTCCTAAACATGTCCAGGCCACGTGCTCATTTTAACAACTGCATGAATCCTAGAATACGAGGTTAATAGCTTGTTACCGGTACATTGTACATCTAGACTCCTGTCGTTAATTTTGTGAACACAGTAAATACTCAGCTTCATTCCATATACACACCAAACTATACAAAAAGCAGAAAGTTCATGTGAGAAGACCATCTTAACTAGGCAACTTCTATCTAACTTTAAGCAAATTTACATGATAAGCCAATGACCTGCAAATACCGGTCGTCGGATCAGACACAATAAATGCCACAAATCAGCCTTCCCGCAGTCCAAATAATGATAAAGACTTTCAGACAGTTGCTACCTCCAGGGGGGATCCTGCCCATTTTTCTTATGGGCAGCCACCTTGTGTTTATAATTGTCTCTGCAACCCAAGAGCTGGTATGTTATAACCAATTTCTTTAACCATAATCTATCCGTAGACGCCTCAGTTCCGCTTGGAAAGCTGGGCTGTGAGTAAGTGTTTTGTATGCAAGGTTCCTTATGTCATCTCGTGAACAATCCCGTGAGATTCGAACAAGCTCCCACAGCGCTCTTGCAGTAATCATATCCTTTGCATTTACTTCTGTTATACCAATTCAAACATTTTAGAGCAGCCCAAACAGTAGGAATCAAGGTTGGAGATGTGAGTGTGAACTTACCATGCTGTGCTAAGTGGCAAAGTGCTAGCTCAATATGTCGCCTGATTGGTGAGGCTTCATTATTGGCATTCTGTACAATCCATGGAAGGGCACCATCTTCAATTAGGAGAGACCTTCCCATCTTTGTTCCTGAAAGAATATGAAAATGACAAATAAGACGGAGAGCTTGAAGTACCTCGAGCCAAAATGATCTATTTATCCAGATGTTGATAGTCTTATTGCAAATTGAAGAAATTCAGCGCAAAGAGATTATTTTCGGTCAGCAACTACCAGCTTTTCCACTGCATTATGATTGCAAATTGTTGAAATCTAGGTAATTAGATTTGCCTTGCACAGCTCACTTAAAAAACCACAAAGTTTTTCAATTCCTTTTCCTTTTGAGATGTTTCAGAAAAATATTTCCAGTCCACAAGTTAATTCATGACATTTCTTTGAAATCTGTATGGGTCAGTAAAAGAACAAAAGGAACACTTTCATAGTTAACCAATAGAGATTCAAAATAAGTGTTCTGCAAAGAAACAAAATTTCTCATTTCTTTTGGACAAATTAGATGCCATAGGCTCACTTTCCAAAGTGACATTCCCGCTCAGGGACCTACACACTAGGGACAAGGATGTGAATCATGCATTCTACATAGAGCAAATAAGGCATGTAAACCAAATTGCTTTCGTTCAAACAATATGGTCGTAACTTGATACTAAGACTTAAATTCCAGGCAGAAAACAACTCTAAAAACCAAATAACCAACATGATATATCTGTGTGTGTGTTTGTGAGAGAGAGGGGGGAGGGGGGAGAGATTGCATACAAGTCACCTTGAGTGAATGCTCTAGACTCGCATTTTGCAAAATTCGCAATCCCACGGGCAACTTGAGCTAGAACATCAGGATGCCTGCATCTCACCATTCCTAGCAATGCTTTAATGCCGCCTTCGCCTCTTAGCTTCATTTGTAACTTATCTGTGAAATTAGAGTATTGTAAATTTAATAACAGTGAGGTGGAATCACACATTCAGAAAACCAAATGCTTAGCATGTTTATAAACATCCGTATACTCATTGGGAAGATAAGCTTCTCAATTACACAATGGGTACAAAAGTTATGGTCGACCCAGAGCATGCCTATTAGAAACCCAGCATAGATTAAGGATGTGGCACAATCTCTTCAACAAAAACACAAATAACAAGACCACACATGCAGAAGATACAGATAAATCAGAGATTAAAAGTTTCAGGATTAAGGTCATTCTCTCTCTCAACCCAATGCAGCCAGTGCATTGTTTGAGTCATATAAGGATGTCAATGCTTCATTGGATATTTGATAAAATTAAGGACTATAAAGAACCAGCACAGATTTATAATATCTGTGATAATCCTTTTTTCCAACAATTTCATTGCCTGAGCGTTTTGAAGCAACGGCCTGATAATAATGCAACAAATAACAAATAAGTTCGAAACTGCTACTATTTCAAGAACAGAGACTACCATTGCCACAAAGATTTGCAATGGCTCCAGCAACCATGCGAAGGGTCTGCGGATCGTTGGCATTAGCAGCTGTAGTTGACAACAGTTCTAAGCCCCCTTGAGATACAATAAGCTCCTGGTTGGTTTCTGCTTATGAGAATTCAATTGTTATCTGGTGATTTCTTGTTGGGGTAAATGATAGCATAAAAATCTGTACAATAACCTTTTCAAGTTGTTATATAGTCTAGTTGGCAAGGTAACAAAGGATTACCACTCATTGCAAGGTTAGCAATTGCACCAGCTGCAACCCGTTGAATGGTTTCATCATCAGAGCTTCTAAGAAGCATCAAAAGGGATGTAAGACCACCTGCTTCAACAATTCTTTCCTGATTTGACTCTGTAAATTTGACAAGATGTATAAATCTCTTGCAATCAATATAAGTAAATCAAAACTGCTTTTAATGACTATGGTACTTCTGAAGTAATAGGTTTATCTTTACAATATAAACAAGAATTACTCGTGTTATTGCCACAGCTATGGAGTGCTCTAAATTCCTTTATCAGCTA